TACACATAGTTATCTTGGTGAGAAACAGGTAAATGAAAGATTCTGGGATTCAGAAAAGTGAGAAAGCAATGAACTGAATTTGGCCCTGATCTGTTATCATTTGGCAAAAAGATACATATTCAAGATTAGGAGAAACTATTTAAGACCTGACTCTGACCTTCATTCAGCTTCTTTTCATCTCTTACACAGAGTATTCTATGTTTATTATGTTTATAAATAAATACAGGATTAAATGGGAAACTAACATTACTAAGAATCTTCTGTATGCCAGGCATCATGCTAGGTGCTTCCTATATATTACTCATATAATCAGCCACTTGGAGGAGGTCACTTTATCTGCATTTTGCAGAAGAGGAAAGTTAGAGGATGAAGGGTTAAATAAATTGCTAGTTAGGTAGATTAAGTACGTTATCACGTAGATAGGTTAAATTAGATAGAACAGTAAATGCAAGATTAAGTAAACTGCTAATTTCAGGTTCTAGTTCAATCATTTACTGGATGTGTGAGCCCTGGGGAAACTCACTTAGTTCCTCAGAGTTTCAACAGCATCACAGATAAAACAAAGGAGGAGTCACCTTCCTCAGAAATTGAGGACTGGTGATGAAGTCAGGTATACATAGGACCCAGCACAATGTCTGGCCCTCAGTCAGTGTAGCAACCATTCCCTCACCTCACTTTTCTTTCTACCTTGGCTTTTTATGCTTTTAAAAAAATTTATGAAGGAGCCTGTTTGCTCAGAAGCCTGAAAAGGCCTTGCTATTTTAATAGGTGCCCAGAAACACTGTTCGTGGTGCTCACGGCCAACAGCGCTTCATTTTTCCTGAGGGTTGGCGTTCAAGAAAAAGAAACCCTCATCAGCCTTTGGCTTCCTTACAGCTTCAAAGAGGCAGTGATATGCGCAGCCCAGGGAAAGCAGCCTAGGTGAGTCATGCTTTCAACTTCCAGCTGGTGACATGAAGGACAGAAAGTAGCCACTTCACTACTGCCAGCAACCACAGCAAGTGACTGCACTGTGGCTTTCCCAGAGACAGTGTCAGGGAGCCAAGCGCATGCCCTCACAGCTGCCAGACTGCTCCACGAGTCTCAGAGGCCTCCTCAAGTTGAGCTTGTCAAGTTCCTGTGAACTGGCACACCAGGGATCCTCCTGCCACAGGACAAAGGACACCTTTTTTGGGAATGAATTCTCTGATGATGATAAAATCGTGTCATGATCTTACTTGCAGCAGGTAGTATCAGTGATTCCAGCAGAAATCATGAATGGTTTGGGTTTAAAGCTTTTTTTTCCCCCCCATGAGCATTTCCTCTTGAGGGCAAGGAGGAACATTTATCACAACCTTATGATTCACTCTCCTAGACTGGCTGTGGCTTCATTTCATCTTTGAGTTCCTGGCCTAAGGCTTAAAAGGTGTCTGAATTGTTACCTGGAGGCAGATGCGTGTTCTCCTATCCTGGTCATCTGCTTTGGACAGTGGCCATAAAACACAAGCATCAGTGATTGTTCTTGTGTCATTCACCCTCCTTGTTCCTGTTTTTAACAATCCAGGCATGTATCTAAACCTTCTTTTCTAATTTACCTTTTTTCTTACTAGTTTTCTTACATATTTTAGTATGATGATTTTCCTGGTTATACCACCCACCTTGGGAAACACTAATTGCATTTACTGATTCTAGATTGATTTCTAGGTTCAGGATTTGGGGCTTTAGTGCACAAATCTCCTATCTTCCTACTTATATTGTTCATGACTGTGGATTCTGCTTACTCTTCTCATAGCCGTGGGCTTTAGAAGCAAAAGTCTGACATGCCACTGTTCTCCAAAATGAGGAAGTTTGGCAGCCTCTGTTCCTATTCTGCTTGCTTTTCTACCTTGACTGTTAACATATAAGTTCTTGTGAGAAAAGCCCTTCATTAAATGCCTAAACTAGGCAACAGCAAGGGAAAAAACAACACAAGCACAGAAGGATGGTGATAGCCTGTACCTGTGTCTGCTCAGGAGGACCTCTGCTGTTGGTGATCTGCCTAAACCCAGTGGGAGCAAGCATCTTAGCAGGATGGGCTTGGAGCCTGAGTTAAACAAACAGCACAGCAGAAGAAGGAAGAAATCAGAAGTTTGGTCGTCAGTTTTCTGAATCCTACTCAACATTTTCCAACCCTGTTGGCCTCTGTCTAAAGCCACCCCTGTTCCTGCACTGTTTATTTTTACTGGTATGTAACATCAGAGTAAATGATAAACATAGCTTATGGAAACCTTTGGCCTTAAATACTTTGAGGTTTTCCCTGAGGAAAGGTGCTTTATTTTACTGACAATATTTCCTTTTTTTCTTCTTTTACAACAAATAAAACGATAGCACTCATATTGTTTACAATTATTGAAATAATTTACTCTAATGTGAATTCTTACATATGAGAACCTTTACATACTGACAACTCCCATGGCATCTTTATAAAGTATGGTAAACCTATGGCTGATTCATGTTTATGTTTGGTAGAAACCAACACAATACTGTAAAGCAATTATCCTTCAATTAAAAATAAATAACAAAAAAGTGTGCAGGTCATAAATATGCTGTCTAAAGACAGGCAAAGTGGGTCACAGAGATATGAAATGAGTTGAAATCACAATGTGAGTCAATGCAATGACGTATGAGTTCAGGTACCCAATCTGGGCTCTGGTGCACTTGACACAGACCTCACCTTCAAAGATGACATTCTCTGGAGACCAGGGTACAGAAAAGGGTAGATTGATGCTCAGTTTTGAAAGTGATCATAGTTAAACCCTTTTTATATAACTTAATGATTTCACAGACTTCATGAATGTTAAGTCAGGTGAAGTTTAATTACATTTGCCCATTTCAAAAAATGTCTGACCAAGACTGCATGGTACTATGAATAATTATTGCCAACAAATTGGACAACCTAGAGGGAATTGACAAGCTTTTAGAAACATACAGCCCACTAAAACTGAATCAAGAAGAAATAGATAATCTGAGCAGATTGATCACTGGAAGTGAGATAGAATCCATAATAATAATCAAAACTCCTTGCAAACAAAAGTCCAGGACCAGAGGGCTTCACTGGGGAATTCTACCACACACACAAATAAGAACTTACACTGATCATTCTCAAACTTTTCCAAAAGGCTGAAGAGAAGGAAACACTCCCAAAGTTATTCTATGAAGCCACCATTACCCTGATACCAAAACCAGACAAAGACATTGACAAAAAAAAAGTTTTAACAAGACTGTATGAAGTTGCAAACTGTTTCCTAACTCTGGAAGACATGGTGATGTAATACCTACAACTATCAGGGATTCTAAAACAGCAATAACAGTGCCCTCGTCTGCCTGGAATACAGAAGGATGACTGAACAAACACAAAAGAATGCAACTTTCTCTCTAAGAAAAGTCTGCTGGGAACTAGTTCCCACGTTGTTTCTGCCTCCAGGAAGAAAAGCCTATGACTTGCTTTCTGCCTGACTCCTTAATGGTCAGTGGATTCTCTGTTGGGGGTACCTAGATTTGGACACATTAGGAACTGATAATGAATATGAATTATTGGTGAAGTACATTTGAGCCCACAGTCTACTGGCTTCTGTTTCAGAACCATTCAGTCAGCCAGATATTTAATTTTTCAGTGAGGCAGAGAAAAGAGGACCTGTTCTGGGGTTGTTAAACAGCAAAATATATTAATAATTCATTTTGCTTGGATTTTTGAATATAGTGTTACTTTACAATTATACAGTGCTTGGCCATTTTCAAATTTTCTATTGATGTTTGAAACAGTTTCAGGAGGTAGCTGTTATTACCAGTTTTACAGATGAGAAACAGGTGTAGAGATGTTATGTTGCTTAAGTCTAGGTCTGCCAGATTCCAAAGTTTATGCTTTTTAAAAAAAAAAATTTATTTTGAAATAATTATAGATTCACATGAGTTTACAAATAAATGTACAGGTAAGTCCCATGAATTCTTCCCCCAACCTCCTCAAATGTTAACATCTCACACAACTAGCTGCTGCTGCTGCTGCTAAGTCACTTCAGTCGTGTCCGAGTCTGTGTGACCCCATAGACGGCAGTCCACCAGGCGCCTCCGTCCCTGGGATTCTCCAGGCAAGAACACTGGAGTGGGTTGCCATTTCCTTCTCCAATGCATGGAAGTGAAAAGTGAAAGTCAAGTCGCTCAGTCATGTCTGACTCATAGCGACCCCATAGACTGCAGCCTACCAGGCTCCTCCGTCCATGGGATTTTCCAGGCAAGAGTACTGGAGTGGGTGCCATTGCCTTCTCCCACACAACTAGAGTGTAGTATCAAAAGCAAGAAAATGACTTTGGCACAATCCACAGTACTTATTCCGAGTTCATCAGCTATGTGTGTGTGTGTATGTATGTGTAGCTGTATGCAATTTTGTCATGTTCTTTTATATATATATAAAGCATACACTGTTCTACCAATTTTAAATATGAAGTCAGATTATAGGAATGAGTAAAATGATTTTATCTGCAATAAAACATTATTTATCAACAATCATGTACATTATGCTGTATGTGCTATGCTAAGTTGCTTTAGTTGTGACTGACTCTTTGCAACCCTATGGACTGTAGCCCGCCAGGCTCCTCTATCCATGGGATTCTCTAGGCAAGAATGCTGGAGTGGGTTGTTACGCCCTCCTCCAGGGGATCTTCCTGACCCAGGGATCAAACCCACATCTCTTCTGTCTCCTGCATTGGCAGGCGGTTCTTTACCACTAGTGCTGCCTGGGAAGCCCCGAGTGTGATATGTATGACCAAACAGCTTTTCATTTTTAGTTGCAATTAAGAAAAGGAAGAAATTCTACAAAGCTCATCTCTTGGGAGCACTAGACTGTGCTATGTGCCTTTATGGGCACATCTTCTGGGGGTGATGATAGATATAAAATAGGGAAACACAATTTATTGGTTTATTGATAATTATGGCAGCAATCTTATACATGTCAGAAATTTCTATCAGTAAAGGAAAGGTGATCTTACCTTGACTTCAGATTTAGTCTCATCATCTTCCTTTTCCTCTGAGTTTAAATCTGTCTCCACATAAGGTTCCTCAGATGTTTTCTGATGAGGAACTAGAAAGATAAAGGAAACCTGCCATTAATTTGGCTAGTTGGCTAATAACTCAGAGCACTTAGCCTGACTTGGATCATGCTGATATAGTTGACTAACAAAGCTTAATTGAGCTGCTACAGTGATTTTCAAAATAGTAGATGAAATTGGAGGTGAAGATGAGATGCAGAAAAGAAAGAGTCCTTGATCCCAGGCACTTGATCCAAAGAGAAAAAAGTCATACCCAACACCGTGGAAAATATCAAATTGCAACCAGTCAATCAAGGTAATGTGGTAAAAATGATGGTTTCCATCATTCCCATTTTTAAGGCCCAGTTAAAAAGTTGTTTTCTTCATGAAGTTTTCCTTAACTATTCTAAGCTTCATGGATTCTGCTTATACACTGATGCTTTGGCATTTTCATTTGCAATGTATAACATTGCACTTGTTGCTCTTGGATTGGAAGATTGAATTCTAGGTACCACATTCTACTGAGTGTATTCTTTCCATTATACAGGTAATTAATTAGTGATTATTAATAGAAAATTTGAAAAATACTAAAATCTTACCATTTAAACACACTATGATTATGTAAGAGGATAGAAATCGTTGCTAATCAAATGACCTAACATTCCAGAACTGTTGCAATCACATTTATTAGTGGATAGGATGACTGTGTGAAGAATCTGATGAGTCTGGAGGAAATTGGGCAGGCTTGCTCTTATTCTTAGCTCTCAATCATTCTCTCTCCCTCCTCTCCTTCCCACAGGGCACTAAGACGCCTGGGAAACAACCATCTTCAGCCTCCATGGTCATTTGGCAGTAAGATTGGGATTTGGGGAGAAGCCCCAGTTAGATTTGTAGCTTTCTAATCCAGTTTTACCAGAAGGCTGCCCTGGGGGTGATGACTACAAGACTAGTAAGTAGTGGTACTTTACATTCTAACTTGTCACCATCACCACCCTTGTATATATAGTTCCTTTGGGAAACTCACAGGATACATGCGATTAACCCAGGACAGGATATGAGCATTTCTAGGTCTCGTGGCCAAACTGTCATCCACTTAATGTCACCAATACCACCCAGATGCTTATGTGTGGCGGACTTGATGGAGGTTGACTGTCTTGCCTCCACAGGCCCTTCTCAAGCCTCTGTGAGCCAACTGGAAGCCCCATGATCTTTCTGTGGGTTTTCTTTTTTTTTTCGTTCTATGTAAAATTTTAATAAAAACATAAGAAAAAATACAAACAAAATAAACAAAAATAGATCTGGTGGATCTGAATATCACAAGCAGGATTCAGGAATTTATATCTGATAACACCCCCTCCCCACTAACTATATAGCTCATCCATGTTTGAAATTACTGATGTAGATAGACCTTACCAGCTTTCCCCTGGTTTTGTTTTGTTTTTCCATTTATTTTTATTAGTTGGAGGCTAATTACTTTACAATATTGTAGTGGTTTTTTGTCATCCATTGACATGAATCAGCCATGGATTTACATGTGTTCCCCATCCTGAACCCCCCTCCCACCTCCCTCCCTATCCCATCCCTCTGGGTCTTCCCAGTGCACCAGCCCTGAGCACTTGTCTCATGCATCCAACCTGGACTGGCGATCTGTTTCACACTTGATAATATACATGTTTCAATGCTATTCTCTCAGATCATTCCACCCTCGCCTTCTCCCATAGAGTCCAAAAGTCTGTTCTATACATCTGTGTCTCTATACATCTGTCTTGCATATAGGATTATCATTACCATCTTTCTAAATTCCATATATATGCGTTAGTATACTGTATTGGTGTTTATCTTTCTGGCTTACTTCACTCTGTATAATGGGCTCCAGTTTCATCCATCTCATTAGAACTGATTCAAATGTATTCTTTTTAATGGTTGAGTGATATTCCATTGTGTATATGTACCACAGCTTTCTTATCCATTCGTCTGCTGATGGGCATCTAGGTTGCTTCCATGTCCTGGCTATTATAAACAGTGCTTCTGTGGATTTTCTAAACATGTTATGTTGAAATCTGTAGTGAAATGCACAGCTAGCTGCCCCAGGTGGTATGACTGCTGAAGCTATTTTATACCAATGTTCAACACATTGGGCTCCTCATTCTCTGCAGGATCTCTGTAACCTGAGTGATTCTAGGCATAGTAACAGGAAGCTAGAAATGCATATACTGATTGGCAATACCCATGACTGGGAACTACTTCCCCTTAACTCTGTTAAGTACAGTGGTGAAGTTAAAGGCAAGGACGAGAGAGCAATGTTGCCAGAGTTCAAGTTTTGCTCTTCCACATATGAAGCATACATTATCAAAGAGCCTTAGCTTCAGTTCAGTTCAGTTCAGTCGCTTAGTTGTGTCTGACTCTTTGGGACCCCATGGACTGCAGCATTCCAAGCCTTTCTGTCTATTGCCAACTCCCAGAGTTTACTCAGACTCATATACATTGAGGTGGTGGTGCCATCCAACCATCTCATCCTCTGTCGTCCCTTCTCCTCCTGCCCTCAATCAGGGTGTTTTCACGAGTCAGTTCTTCACATCAGGTGGCCAAAGTATCACAGTTTCAGCTTCAGCATCAGTCCTTCCAATAAATATTCAGGACTGATTTCTTTTAGGATGGACTGGTTGGATCCCCTTGCTCTCCAAGGGACTCTCAAAAGTCTTCTCTAACAATACAGTTCAAAGCCATCAATTCTTCGGCACTCAGCTTTCTTTGTAGTCCAAATTTCACATCCATATATGACTACTGGAAAAACCACAGCTTTGACTAGATGGACCTTGGTTGGCAAAATAATGTCTCTGCTTTTTAATATGCTGCATAGGTTGGTCATAACTTTTCTTCCAAGGAGCAAGGGTCTTTTAATTTTATGTCAGCAGTCACCATTTGCACTGATTTTGGAGCCAAAAAAAAAATAAAGTCTCTCACTGTTTCCATTGTTTCCCCATCTATTTGCCATGAAGTGATGGGACCAGATGCCATGATCTTAGTTTTCTGAATGCTGAGTTTTAAGCCAACTTTTTCACTCTCCTCTCTCACTTTCATCAACAGGCTCTTTAATTCTTCTTTGCTTTCTGCCATAATGGTGGTGTCATCTGCATATTTGAGATTATTGATATTTCTCCCAGCAATCTTGCTTGCAACTTGTGCTTCATCCAATCCAGCGTTTCTCATGATGTACTCCGCATATAAGTTAAATAAGCAGGGTGACAACATATAGCCTTAATGTACTCCTTTCCTGATTTGGAACCAGTCTGTTGTTCCATGTCCAGTTCTAACTGTTGCTTCCTCACCTGCATACAGATTTCTCGGGAGGCAGGTCAGGTGGTCTGGTATTCCCATTGCTTAAGTTTTCCACAGTTATTTGTGATCCACACAGTCAAAGGCTTTGGTGTAGTCAATAAAGCAGAAGTAGATGCTTTTCTGAAATTCTCTCTTTTTCGAAGATCCAACATATGTTGGCAATTTGGTCTCTGGTTTCTTTGCCTTTTCTAAATCCAACTTGAACATCTGGAAGTTCATGGTTCATGTACTGTTGAAGTCTGGCTTGGAGAATTTTGAGCATTACTTTACTAGCATGTGAGATGAGTACAATTGTGCAGTAGTTTGAGCATTCTTTGGGATTGCCTATCTTTGGGACTGGAATGAAAACTGACCTTTTCCAGTCCTGTGGCCACTGCTGAGTTTTCCAAATTTGATGGCATATTGAGTGCAGCACCTTCACAGCATCATCTTTTAGGATTTGAAATAGCTTGACTGGAATTCCATCGCCTCCACTAGCTTTGTTCATAGTGATGCTTCCTAAGGCCCACTTGACTTGGCATTCCAGGATGTCTGGCTCTAGGTGAGTGATCACACCATGGTGATTATCTGGGTCATGAAGATCTTTTTTGTATAGTTCTTCTGTGTATTCTTGCCACCTCTTCTTAATATCTGCTGCTTCTGTTAGGTCCATACTGTTTCTGTCCTTTATTGTGCCCATCTTTGCATGAAATGTTCCCTTGGTATCTCTAATTTTCTTGAAGAGATCTCTAGTCTTTCCCATTCTGTTGTTTTCCTCTATTTCTTTGCACTGATCACTGAGGAAGGCTTTCTTATTTCTTCTTGCTATTCTTTGGAATTCTGCATTCAAATGGGTGTATCTTTCCTTTTCTCCTTTGCCTTTCACTTTTCTTTTCACAGCTATTTGTAAGGCCTCCTCAGACAGCCATTTGGCCTTCTTGCATTTCTTTTTCTTGGAGATGGTCTTGATCCCTGCCTCCTGTACAATGTCACAAACCTCTGTCCATAGTTTTCAGGCACTCTGTCAATCAGATATAACCCCTTGAATCTATTTCTCACTTCCACTGTATAGTCGTAAGGGATTTTATTTACATCATACCTGAATGGTCTGGTGGTTTTCCCTTCTTTCTTCAATTTAAGTCTGAATTTGGCAATAAGGAGTTCATGATCTAAGCCACAGTCAGCTCCCAGTCTTATTTTTGCTGACTGTATAGGGCTCTCCATCTTTGGCTGCAAAGAATATAATCAATCTGATTTCAGTGTTGACCATCTGGTGATGTCCATGGGTAGAGTCTTCTCTTGTGTTGTTGGAAGAGGGTGATTGCTATGACCAGTGTGTTCTCTTGGCAAAACTCTATTAGCCTTTGCCCTGCTTCATTCTGTACTTCAAGGAAAATTTGCCTGTTACTCCAGGTATTTCTTGACTTCCTACTTTTGCATTCCAGTCCCCTATCATGAAAAGGACATCTTTTTTGGGTGTTAGTTCTAGGGGGTCTTCATAGAACTGTTCAACTTCAGCTTCTTCAGCATTACTGGTCGGGGCATACACTTGAATTACTGTGATATTGAATGGTTTGCCTTGGAAACGAACAGAGATCATTCTGTCATATTTGAGATTGTATCCAAGTACTGCATTTTGGAACTCATTTGTTGACTGTGATGGCTACTCCATTTCTTCTAAGCGATTCTTGCCCACAGTAGTAGATATAATGGTCATCTGAGTTAAATTCACCCA